CAGAGAAGGAGGCTGCCTTTGCTTTGGACAGAGAAAACTGTTTATGACCAGCAGCACTGCATTGACTAGGCAAGCGTCAGTAAGAACAGAAACTCCAGGGCACATTCTTGACCATTTCTTAAAAAGCAGGAATAAAAGCACAATTCACATTCATTATGTTTCAAACCAAATATCCAACGTTCAGAGAGAACACCTGTCCACAACAGTTATGAAATGCATAATGCCCTAAGCCTACAAGAATGGCCTGGAATAACGGCAGAAAAGTTCAGTTGCTTCATTAAAAAATAAATACATTTCCAAGAGTTAGAAGAAAAAAGGCAGTAAAACCAAATAGCTTTGCAGATGATTTATCTGTATGACTCCTGCAGGGTTGTTTAAATAAGTCCATTTGTCTCTAATGGAAGTTTCTCAAGCCTCATTTCCTAGTGCTGAGCCTTAATGCTACCACTTTGAGAATACAGGTGCAAAAGTGCCAGTACCTCTACTAAATTTAGAATGAAGCCAGGAAGCATCTGGACTGTATGGGCTGTCTTCACTTTCTGATAAGGTCTGCAAAAACAAGAAAGATGTCATTGGTATGCTGGTTCTTGTGATAAGCACTTCTCCTGTTTGCAATTAGATTCGTAAATTTAAACTGTGGCAAAAGTCCTCATAAAACTTTCAGCCAGTACTCAGGACTTTTCCTTTCCTAGTTAGAAGGTACAACACAGATGATACAATAAGAACTCACCACTTGCCACATGATCTGTTGTGTAACCGAGTATTCTTAATATTCCCCTAGCATTCCACCTGTACAATAGGAACATTAGCTAACCATTCATCGCTGAATGCTTTGGTAAAATTACAGCCTCATTTTGAGTAACTAAGAGGACAGCTCTCTTTAGAAACTTCAGTGTAATTTGGGAACCCTCCAAGGCCCACTGAATTTGGAGTTCCTTCTATTGACTTCAGCTAGACTCCGGACCATCCCCCCTCACCCTCATTTATACTACCTCTGGTAAAGAATTCTAATATCTAGGAGCAATGCAGTTTTAACTCTGGTATAAAACAAAAACAGGCTTCCTAATAAAGTACCTTTTCTCGGTAGCCGTAGTATTCTGCGTACCAAACCATACCATATAAACACAGGAAAGTTGTGAAGGCCTAAACAAGGGAGGAGAAGAAAACATAATCTGTAAATTTTTTTTCCAAATTTCTTGCTGGTTCAAGGTCTCAGAGTCCCTGGAGATTCCGCATTCAGAGACTCTGATGCCCTGTTTCTCTCTGCATCTTTTGTCAGGATGAGCAAGACTCATGCTTCAACTTCAAGGTACATATACATTGTGCCACCATGGGTTATGCAGAGTAATTATCAATGGGAGCATGAGAATACATACAGATCACCCACATACATGCAGGATACACTGTCAGTATGATTTTCGTCCTCACCCTGTACAGTCATCATACAAAGGCAGTTGGTAGGCACTTGCAGGTATACTATCAGGAACAACCAGTCTAGGAGAAGAATTCTCCTTCTCCCTGCCCCATGCTTCAGGCTGGGTTACATGTTTGGTTCTGTGGTGCTCCGATCTGGGAAGCAATTTGATACTTTTTGTCTCTGAAGTTTCAGGAATAAAATCATCATGCTAAATAAGAGAACAATAAATTCTGACTCCCTGTCAGACCTGTGCAAACTGTGGTCCCAACTGGAAGGGAGAAGTATTTAACTGTCAGCCCATTATGAATGCCTTATTTTTCACTGATCATTAAAAATGTGTTTGGCATCAGAGGTACAAGTCTAGCAAGACAAACATCCATTTGCTGTTATAAAATGGGTATTTCATGCCGCATTTGCAGTAATCACACTGAAGTACATAAAGTTGCAGGCTGAGTGAAAATGATTTGCCTGACAAAGCAGGGCTGTTTCTGTAGTTGTAAGACTTCAGTGTGAAACAGCATGCATTACTTATTAACGCTATTCATTAACTTCTGTTATTTTCCAGCAGGTACTATAGGAAGCACCACTAAAGTTAGCCTCAGCTGAACTGACATTTTCTCTCAAAGATAGAAAGCCCTATAACCAGTGTTTGTTTCACTGTTAAGCACTGGTAAAGTGGTTATATTCTGCTATGTCAAGAAATAAGAAAAAAAAAATATTCCAGTCCTTTCAAAGTGTGTTCTGAATGATCCTGCAGTTACTTTTCCTAGGACATGCACAAAGCTCTTTACCAGCATTCCCCCACAATACTCCCCTGTTGCCAATATTCCAGAGAGGAAGCTATTTAGATGCTTTCAATGCTTTTGCCATGCTTTATGTTTCACATGAAAAGTCTCACTTACCACACAAAGAAGCCAAAACACAACATACAGTATTTGTGTTTTGGAAAAAAGATCCTGTCCGAACTTTATGCACACAATAGCTTCGAGGAAAGCAATAACCCTGCAGGTAAATGAAAGAGAGAGTGGGGGGAAAAAAGATGGTTACAAACACCATGGACTTAACTCACATGTTCACAACCCAGACCCCAGATTGTCAGCTCTAAACAAGCACTATTCTCCAGTGAGCACACACCCCCCCAACACCACTAATAAATCCTTTGGGAAATTTATTTCTCTTTCTAGACTTTTCTTCAGCATAAACAGCATACAAAAAGTGATCGACTGGCAGTATACAATTCCGCTAACCTCCACTTGTCCAGTGAACAAGCAGGAGTGTGTGCCAATAGATGAGACTTTCTCTTTATACTTACCCCTGTGCTTCAGCCCTCACCAGATATAAATTTATTTTCTATGTTGAACAGCCAATAGCCTCCCTGTTGGCTGAACTAGAACTGTGCTTTGGGTATTTCTCTACTGGATACAAATTTACTGCAATTCTAAATAGGCTATTTCGCTTGCTTTAGATGGATTTTAATTAGAAAATTAACATGAAAGAGCACTTCAAATTCTCTGAGAATCCACACATTTGTTTCAGTTTAGGTGTAAACCCAGGTCCACACTATGGTATCAGAGGATTTGGTGAGAAATGCAACAGGAAAAAATGCAATATTTACTTTTCTCTCTGGTATTATAAGAATAAAAACAAGTATCTCCAGCTCTCTCTTCGTTACCAGATGTTTACGTCTTTTCATGCTCAAAGCTATGGAGGTTTGTCCACCATTTGATGGGGAACAAGAGGTTATTAATCCAAAGTTTACATCATTTGCCATGGAAATATATTTGGTGTGTGTATGTCCTGGACACAAAATCACATCTTTTAACAAATACAAGTGTAGAAATGTGACTGGTGCAGCAAAACTGTAGAAAATAACTCTTCTCCAGCTGAAGCCAATCATGAAGAAAACTATTACATTTGTGAAAGTTTAATACTTAACTTGTTCAATCGTGACTTTGAGGTTGTACATAAACACATGCATGAACACTCCTCCTCAAACGTGCACAGGCACACTTAACATCAGGTCGTGTTCCGGTCTCCCAAGCTCAACACTGCAGGACACATTCCCTACCAGCACTCTCCACAACCAGGGAGCTGCCCAAAAAGGCTCTAGTGCCTGGCCAACAGGACCCAGCTCCCTCCATGAAAGAGGGAGGAAAGGTGTGTGCATGACTTAACCACTGTTATTGTAGAGATGGTCCTGGTGCAAATAATAAATTACAGCTTTCTCTATACCATCCAACGTGACTTGCAGCATGATGAGTGGGGCCAAAACTTAAAATTGTGGAGGTAACACCTAATTGGCCAAAACTGCAAATGAGCGAGCTGCATATTAATAAAAACTTGAGAGCAGTATTACTCTGCTGGTTCATCAGTTATTTTTCTTTCTTGATTTTATATTATTCATACTGACCCAGCTGCAGATTAAAAATAGTTAAACTGAACTGCAGCAGTGGGAACAGAAAGACCACCATCAGGAAACAAACATAAGGGTATGATATACTCAAAGGTATAAAGAAAACAACAAGGTATTTTCAACAAGGACTCAAAAAACTAATACAGCTGCTTGTGTTGCATTTATATGTTCTTTCCATTATTCTTGTCAAGAATACTTGTACAACAGGACAGCTATTACAGTGAAAGAAGTGGTAAGTCAAAAGATAGAAGAATGCTAACAAGTGAAAGGTGTTAGTATCCTATTGAAGGGTGACAAGAATACTCAGCAGAACTAAAGACACTAAGTTTTCATTCAATCAAAATGGTCTGGTAACATCCTAACACATATTCCTTTTTTAAAGGCTTCATCTTAATTAAAATGGTGCAATTTCCAGCAGACCTGTTGCAATGGCCTTGTTCATGCCTTATATAATTTACTGTCCATCTGTTGAGAGTGATGCTACAGTATACATCAAGTTGCAGGGAATACAGTTTCATATTAATGCAAAACACTGGTTTTAATTGTTCCAGTGGTCATGGTGATACAAATTCAATGTGTGCCTTTAGAAGTGTTTCTTGATTACCACAAATATTCTTATTCTAAATATTTGCTTTTAATTACTTCAGAAATTATATTGTGGATAGTTAAATTACTGGAAAAGTGCTGCTTTTTCAACAAACAGGAACTCCTAGTGTTGCTCTGTTTTTTTCTAGATGATAACAGAAGCAAGCAGTATCAAGATGCTTACTTACTCCAAGCACATTTCCCACTATTAGACAGAACTGCACATGAATATTCTATTTCAGTTCTTATTATGCAATCTCAAAGAGATATTTGAGCATCTGTTTATTGACATATATCACACTAACGTGCTCAGTGAGAGCTCTGAACCAAGGGCAATGGTTGCTGTAATCCTTAACAATTTTTCAGAGCCAGAAGACAGTTAACAGATCCATTCAGGAAGATGATAAGTCAGTCAAGCGAAAGAGATGAATATTTAAGCCCAGCCAAACCCAAGGAGCCATGTCATGTTCTCCAGGTCACATTTGAAAAAAGAGTAGATATCCCTTCAATTACATTGCAGCATGCTCTGCTCTCATCTCAATTAAATGTTGAGAAAGGGGCATTCTTTACAGTGGTGTACTACACCTGGAAACATGCCTTCCAGGACAGTACTGGTCCTAAAACTCTGTAACTTCCCTGAGACTAAGAGTAAAGGTGAGATGAGTTTGACAGAGGACGGTCTCTAAATTAGATCTGAGTATTTTATGGCTCGTTGAAATGCTATTCCAATTTAAAACAGTAACAGATTCTTCTATTAAACACAAAAATGGTTCAGACAATTCTGGAAATAAGATGTATACTGATCTTGACAAAGAGAATGAAATGGTTATTTTAATTTAAAATCATTGCCATCAGAAATTAGCTTCTTGAATAGTTTTTTAAAATATTTTTTTTCCCTTTAAGACATGATTTAGGATATTTTATGTTTTCCCATTTGTAAGCTTCCAAGTCACAAATCAAAAGGGACACTACTATGCTGCTTATTTACAAGAAGCTTTTACAATGCTACAATAGGATACACTTCTGGTTTCCAGAGCAGCACATTTTAGTCAAGCCATCTAGGGAAGGCAGTTCTCACCAGAAGCAATCATGCAAACTCTTCATTTAAAGGTCTCCTCCAAGATACATGTTGAAAGAGTTGGGAGCCCAAGGTAAACAATGCTCATAGCATTATTCTTCTCCCTCTTTGAGAACAGAATAGAAACAGTCGATAACTGTGGTTTGTTTAGCTGTCTTCTGTTGATGATTTCACTAACAGCAGCAACGCCCACCTTTGACGGCCAGGTAAATATTGCTCCAATGACAGGCAAGCGGAAGAGGCAAAAGCTTTATCCTTCTCACCTGACTGAGAATATGGGCAGCAAGGCCAATGCTACTCTGAAGGAGCCTAGCTTTATCCAGCAGTTTCTAGTTCTTCCTTCTGTTCTTCTCCTTACTCATTCCATCACTTCCCATGTTCTACCTCCAATTCCAGAATTTTCCTTTCCTCTGAACTTGCAAAAAAAAAGAAAATCTCTCCATACTGTTCTTTATATTAAAACCAACACAAGACAAGGACGGGCTTCATGCAAAGCCTGTTCCTGTGCTGGACTCATACTTAACACTTGTCCGAGTGCTTCAAGAATGCAGCAAAACCACTTACCCAAACACCCAGCACTGAGTTCCCACCCTCTTGCACTGTGTATCTGTGAGGTATGCATAGTATTGCCTGAGAAGGGAAACAAGGAAAAATCTTCAGTGAAGTTTGAAGTCCTCAGAATATTTACATTTAGAAAATTAGTTTATGTTACAAATGTATCTATACTGAAAATGAAGTGCTGATGGTTGAAATCACATGCCGTCATGCTAGATGTCTACCAGATGGCTTCAGTTCTGGTAGGACAGATTATCACTTACATCAAATAACTTGAAACAACACATAAAACAATCCTGAGAGCAAGGACTGGGAAACTACCCAAACTAGTAGACTAACAAAGCTACATATTTGTCTCTTGTCTCTCTACTCTCCAATTCTTTTAGGCAAAGTACAACAGCTTCAAAAGCGTTAGAGAATACCCCACTTTTTCAACAGTTTGTCTTTAATTTATTAACAATTGCATTTTCTTGACAGAGGTAGGTTTGAATCTTGAGAGAAACTGAATCTGGCTATTCTATATCCTCGGTGAGCACTCTAACCGCTGGCATGTTTTCCTCTCAAGAACAAAGCAGAATTTCTCAATATTTTGAAAACATTCTGGAGACCATTCTGTTCTGTTCTTTATGCTCCTAAATTTTAAGAGTTTAGAGAGGGGAATTCCAAAGAAGTGGGACCAAAGTTCCTTTCCTCAGTCTCTGTCTCCAATTTGCACTGAGGGATGGGGAATAAAAGTGTTATTAATCCAACAACACAAGGATTGTTTAAGAATAAAGACTTCTACAGCTTGGCAAGTGCTGTAAAAATACTTAAAAGTTCATATATACAGGAGCTTGTAGGATGTTTAAGGTGATCTAATTAACAGTGCGAAATGACTGCACATAACTTGAGACACTAACAGCTGTTATTTTAGGAATAAACCAATGCACAGCTGCCATTTAACTGTCCAAGGCAATGTCACTTTACTGACTAATGGGAAATTCTATGTCTCTAACCTCAAAACTGTGTGTATTCTGTCTGCCTCCAGCTATATCACAGAAAAAAAAATATTAAGGAGGCTCTGCTAACAATGCAAGTAGTGTGCATGACTAAAAAGATGTTAATATTTCTACACAACTGTTAACACTGCATCTATACTATTCTGTTACTCAGAATATGGTAATACTCTATCTTTTCTTACAAGATGCTAATATTTCCTGCAGACAAACAGGATAACAAGGTCAGTCAGAAAAACCAACAACTTTATTTTTCCTCATCTACACTTTTGTAAGCATCTGACTGATCAACTTGGATATTTTCACATGCAGTCCTCACGGATAACATATGCAGCTAGCTCAAACACTGGCAGATGCTATACAAACAGAAGATGGAACAGACTAGTTCTGCATCCCTATGGAAACACAGATGTTTATATACATTTTACCTTATTAGTTTACTTGGTAGAAAAAGCATCTTATTGAAAGCAATGATTGTTTTGCTTTTCATGGTGGTAAAAGCATAAACTTCTTGAAATGTGCCTGTACTTATTCACAAACTATGTACAGTGCCTAGAAGTCAAGCTACTTTAAACTTCAGAAAAAACACCATGGCAACAAAATTACCTTACAGTGGGTGCTGTAATGATTCCTATGAAGAGAATTCTCCCCCAGCTTAAGGGGTGGCTTGCTTGGAACACAAAGATATGTTTCAGAAAGAATGTGTTCAACTCAGTCAGCTAACAAAAAAAAAAAAAGTTAGTTAATAATGTTCAATCTATGTAACTCTTAACGAGTTACTACAGAAAATGTGCAAAGATTAATACGGGAACTAAAACAGGGAAGGAAAACTATTTATGCTCTAATATAGCCCTGCTGGTTAGATGGAGCATTTAAAGAGTCTAAGATTCCTACTCTAGGACAAGCAAGGAATAAACTAGTGAAACAAAGGATTCTGCCCTAGACAATGCTATGAAAGTATTTGCTCTCTAATTCATACTGCAGTGGTCTTCTGATAACTTTCATTTCCTAAACCAAGTATGAATGACTGAGGCAAATTTGGTAGAAGAGATCACAGACACACACACACACACACACAAAAATATATATCTCAAAGACTTCTGCTTCTCCTTTTAAAAACCAAACTCAGTAAAATAAAAATTTAAAAGCCAAAAATAATATAAAACCAGAAATAATATAAAACCAAAAATAATATAAAACAAAAAAAAATTAGTGAAGTTTGCTAGCATTTGCATGATGAATTACCAAAGCAGTTGGAAGATATTAATAGAGTCTTGCCAGATCAAGGCCAGAATTCTGAGTATCAGTGATCCATCCAACAGTCAGTGGGAAAGAAAAGAACCAAAACCACACAACAAAACCAAACCAAAACAAAAAAACCCAAACCTCTAAACCCCACTGCCTAGCAGTTTTTAAAACTGTATCAACTGCAAAGAGCAATCTGATGGCCAGTACAGCAATCTGTAACATTTGATGTTTTCCACAGATTCTGTAATTACACTCCTGAGCTATCAAGTAACTCCCACAAACAGCGCCCTGACCAATTCTGTATTATCGATTCATCTAACTGTGTGTTTCAATGACAGACATACATTGCATTAGAGTATCTTCTATCCAAACACAGCCAATAAGTAACTGAGCTGATGGCAGCTTTGATTTAACAGAATTTATTTCTTACCTGCCAAATGATCATGAAAAGGTAGACTCCAGCCACTCTTTGAAATGAAGACTTGGGGTCAAACCAGCGGACATAGGTCCAGCTGGCTGGGGTGAACTGTAATACAGCTCTTTTGATTTTCCCCGTGGTTGTGTGAATGTCCCTAGAAAAAGAGAATGGCTGTAATAAATGCAAGGAATATACAAGGGGGAAAAAAAGCAATAGTCACGTTACTGATATTTTGGAACAATCACACTTTTTTGCTGGACAGACAAGATACACAACCGCATATCGGGCAAGGGCGAATTAAGACATAATCTATTAAGCATTTAAGTCAGGGTGCATTCTGCTATGAAAGCCCACCCTCCTCTATCCTCAGACAGTAACTAACTACAAAACAAAACTATCATTCTCTCCATAAAGAAAAAAACAAGGATTGCAATTCTGCAATCCCCTTGGAAAATCTAGACAGTATTTCTTCTTAGTCTATGTAGCCACTGCTCTTATCCCAAAGACTCCTTGTTCCAGAGCTCAGTGACATCAGTCCTTCAAGAATCTGTCAGATTCCCTGGAAGTGTTCAAGGAATCTGTAGATGTGGTGCTTAGGGACATGGTTTAGTGAGTTAGGTGGTGTTGGGTTGACGGTTGGACTTGATGACCCTTGAGGTCTTTTCCAACCTTAATGATTCTATGATTCATTATCCATTAATTGTATAAGGGATTGGCTCCACAGGTTTGAAAATTCTGCACTTCCAGCACACACAACCCCTGCTGTTTTGACATTAGACGCATGGGAATCTTCTGGAGAGATGCGATAGCACAGTTAAAAGCTAGGCAGCTTTTAAATTCCCTTTTGAGAAGGGATGCAAATGGAGGTTCATCTGACAGATGTGTTACTCCCTCTTGCTTTTGATAACATTGTCGGATGAGCAACAGCATCCAAAGGACAGAGAATCTACGAAAAACTCAAGAGTTTCCTTTTTGAAGGAGGATTAACAGCGGTAGAAGCCTGCTTTCACCCTGTTATTTCCCTGGCCCTTCTGGACAAAAAAGGAGATTGAGATTTTATGTTTCTGATACTTGTGTTCTTTTAGGCGAGTGGGATCTTAGGTTAGCAGAACCTTCTAATCTTTAAGATGTGCATTAGTCAATGAAAAAAGGAAAACAAAAGAGCACAAGCAAAAGCTTATAATTCTAGGCAGCCTGTCTTCATATTAAAGGTCCAAAAAAATCTACTTATCCATTTAAAAGAACGTGAAGAAAAAATATTCCACAAAGACAGTAAAGAATAGCCTTGCCATAGACATTCTGCTGTTTTAACTTCCTGTGAACTCTCTAAAAACAGAGGGACTGTCAAGTCTACAACATTCACTATTCCTCCTGAATTGAAATGGAGGAAAATTGAACAGAGACTAAAGGCCAGATTGAGACTAAAGGTTCTCAGATCAATTAACAAATTCGAGAGTAAGAAAAGAAAGCATTACTGACATTTAGGTAGAGTACAACTTTGGAAGTCAAGATTTGAGCTCATTTTCCATCTCTCGAGGTAATATCCTTTGGCAATTCATTGTATTTGATCCTGTTTCATCTATACCATTGGTAATGTGCAGATAACTGTGCTCGCCACCCACTGGCAGGGAAGAAGGCAGGAGAGGGGCAAAAATCTATGGAAGAAACCATACCTGGATGGCTAGGAACTGGTATTTACGAGGCCACAAGCTGTTGCCCTTTCACACAATAAAAACTACTTTATTTTGCAATTACATCTTTGCAAAATGAAGAGAGCGTCAGCAATGGCGTAAGGCAATTCACAGCACAGGTACCACCAGCCTGATTCCTCTTCTGCAATTACAACTAGTGCTGACAGATTGTCATACTAATGCCTCATCAAGGTGAGCCCAAATCCAGTTCAAAAACATTGTATGAGAAAACAATTACAATTTCTTTTGTTCACTGCCTTCAACTACTTGTACAAAATAAACTGAAAATGCAAATAGCTTTACTACTTTATATTTTCATTTAGCATCAATACTTCTAACTTAAACTGCAAAGGAAAATTATCTGTACATAACCATATTTACAGATACATGCTGTAGAGTAGCATTACTATAAAATGAAATTTTAACATTTAAAATATATTTACAGCATTGTTAGCACATGCAGATTGCATGCTATTTCTATACCACATGCATTTTACATATGCAAAAAAGACCTGTTTCCCAAGGAAATTAATCTAATATTATAACATCAAACAATGTTTATCAAGCTTTAATTTAGACCTACTTGAAGCTTGCCCAGTGATAGGTCCTCATCTCCAAGAAACGACAAACTACCATGCCCAACCAGATGCCACCCCCGTTACAAAGCAGGATGTCCAAAATGACTTGATCCCACCAGCATTCAGCAAAATTAGGCAGAAGGTGCATGAAGAAGAGCTACAGAATACAGCAAAAAGATTTTGGATGAGGAACAGCACAGAATTCATACAAATTCATTTTAAGTACACATTTTAAAAACCCAGCTTTTCAGTACACGTCAGACTTCAAGGACATGTGCCACAACCGCTGGAATTTGATGGGCTTCCTTCCACTAACTTCAGAAGGCCTTGGATAGAACCACACAAGGCATCAGAGGTTTCCTTCTCACTGTTCCGTGTTGGGGCTATGCTGTATATAAAGATATCATACAGCTCCTGGCTTCTCAAAGACGATACATAGCACATTCATTAAAATGCATGAAACAAGCAAAACTACTGCACTTCTTGGAGGAAATAAGGTGCTCTGTGTGTTAAAAAAATAAATTGAAGAGAACTTCTGCCTTTTTTTTTTGCTAAATAGTTTTAAGAGGTACGTTTTCTCAAACAGCAACAAGATGCAGTAAGTAAAATCGATGCATTTGTAACAACTGTCAGTACTAAAGCACATTGGTGTTCAAGATTTAAGATTTGTTCTGTTTCAAAACTCTTTCATTTATTATTTTTAGGAAATTTAGTGACTGTAGAAAGATTAAGAGTTCACCAATATTTCAGACACTACAAACTTTGCTGTTATACTTGATCCAGAACGGCTCAAAAAGTTAAGAGGATGTTCCACTCTCCCTTCCTACTTGGTCTCTGGTAAACACTAACAATGAAAGTACATTTGCAATGAAAATACTAGAAAACAGGCCAGAAACAAACCAGCATCAGACTGAGAAGTTGACATCATCTGGATATATCAAAACATGTTCAGTCCCCTGAAGACTTTCCCTGGAAAGTGCACAAATCGTTACCTCCGAAGCAATCTTTTCCTTTCTGAATACTCAACTGAAGACAACTACGAGGCATTAGTAAGGCAATTACGTGTATTTACAGATACATTTGGTGACTTTACACTTTTGATGGAGCGAAGGAGGACAACTGGCCAGAATTAAGGCAAGATATAAGCATAATTTACTGAGAGCTAGAAATAGATTCAGCACCTCTCATTCTTCTTTAAGATAAAATAATTGTATTCCCTATTCTACAAGAAAAATTGCAGCAACCCAAAAAATAGACTGAAAAAGTTAGCTGTGGATTGGAGATCAAGACAGCCATGTGTTAAGTAGTCCCTTTGGAATACTCAAGGGGATGCTTAACAAAACACATAGCAAACCAAAGAATATTCTAACCTCCACAAAAACAGTAAAATTTTTGTCAGTTAATGTACATACACGATGTCTGTGGAAGATTATTGGTGTTATTTTGTAATAAAGTATCTTTTCTTAACAGTTATTTAAATAAAATATTAAAAAAAACAGATGTGGGAAAAGAAACAAGAATGTTTTCTGTATACAGCGAGAATTAATACTGGTCCATTTATAACGAATTACAGTGACTGATATTGACAATGACATTTCCTTTGAAAATTATTGCGAAAGCATATAAAAGCAACTTGTTTTTCTTTGACAAGGTTATGGGAATTTCAACTTGCAGAAAATAAAATTTTAATTTCTCTTCAGGACTCATGCTATTCAATGTTGCTCATTATCTTGCTACATTTTCCCTTTCATATTTTAAATTCATTTAACCTGAAAGGGGTACTAGGCTACAAATCTCAATCTGCAATAATCCAGTTAAATACATCAGAAGTTACAGATAGTAAGGCATCAAAAACCAGAGCACGGGTGTTAACCAGACCACCTCTAAGGTGCTAGCTGTTTTCTCAGAATGAGAGGCCAAGGTCTGCCTGCATCCCAGCTTTAATCGCATAGTAAGGAGCATGAGCCAAGTGTCCCATTTCAGAATGGAGAGCCAGCTGAAGTCCATTAACGCTAATATGAGATGCACAGCTAAATCCCTGTGTAACTTCTGCAGGCTTCTAATTACTTTCCTGAATTAACTAATTCATTAAAAATCCATTTGAGTGGTGATAACTTCTCTATATACCGAACCTTACTCAACATATTATCTGTTCCAATAATCCGTCTTTCAACAACAGGGAATACTAGACATTCCATGCCATGTCAAATTAAAGATGATGGTTGTGCTATTATCAACTGAAAAATAAGAGTGCATGTGCAACAAATCCAAGTTTACTCTTTTCCAGAGGGAAAAAGTTAGTACAATGACTAGCAAAGTTGTTTTTTTGTGGATACTTGTGGGTACCTGTGAAATCCGAATCTTAACCAGTTTCAAAATAGCTTAGAAAAAGGAGAACAATTGCTCTGATTCAGGGAATATTAGTCAACATCTGAAACAGCATGAGTGTTGACTCCCATAACAGAAGAAAAACAAAGTATGGATGGCAACAATAGGCTGCAGCCTAGACTTCCCTCCTATCGAAGTATCTGTAAGTCATTTACCTAAACCCCAACTTGTTGCTGTCCACTAACGCAACCGCACCAACTGCTCAGCATCTGGTTTATAAGGCTTAAAATGTAAATCTATACTGAGAACTATTGAGTCATCCTTTCAGTAACATTCACATCCCCCCAAGAGCAATTCAAGTCTCATACATTTGTTTAACTAAGATAAATGTGTGGCCTACCTCAGTGAGCTCCCAGGTAATGCTAATAGTCCAGCACAGCCCATAGCTGCGGATCAGCAAAGCCTTCATAGCCCAGCCCCAGAAATGCCCAAAAGCAAATATATCAAAGTGGCTGAGGATTCTCTCCCAGGTGATAACGTGACAGTTCACAGCATACTCCTGTTAAAAAAAAAAAAAAAAAAAAAAAAAAACCCAACAATAAACCTCAAGGAACAGGCAACAAGCATGAAATTGTAAGTACATTAAAATATACATTATTCCACTTTATTGCCCTTCTAAACTCTGCAGGAAAAACTTCAGTATTAAGACTCAGTGTCATCACAGTACAGCTCTAATTTAAAGTGAGATAGAATAGACCTTGATTCCTGAAGGAGCATGTATTTCTTACGTGACAGAGAAACAGCAGGAACAATAAAACCAGTAACAATAAAAACCAGCAAACAAAATTCCAGAAAACAGTTATTTGCTTTTCTTTGGGGTCTTGATTTGAACTAACCACCCTTCCCTATCTTCATGCTGTCTGCTGTTCTGATGTGGCTCATCGGTGGCTAATCCTCACCAGTTTGTGATCTTCTGTTACTCATCTCAATGTTCATTTGAGTATCTTTTGTGTCTTATTTTCCTCATCAAAGCAATTTCCTAGAACACATTCATATTGAGAAAGTTCAGTCACATGGCTGAAGGAAAAAGAAAAAAAAAAAGGGAACTTGCAACTGTTCTGTCACAGATGAGTGGCAGATTCCTTAAGAGTATTAATTACTATTCTAGTCATCTATAACAAAGGAAATGTTTTCATAATGTTGTACAGCAAGTGCTAGAAATCACTGCCCAATTAAAAAATAAATAATCTGTATACCATCAGGAGGCTGCTGTGGGGTTCTGTCATGTCACCAGGCTCACAATGAACTATTCCTAACTGGAAATACACATTTAAAAAAAATCCCTCCTAAAATATACATTGCCACCTGCAGGTGACAACACAGCACTGCTCACTGCTGTCAAATTAAGAAAGGATTCACTTTTAGGCCAGAGTTATTGCTAATCCTGCACAAATGAAACACAATCAAGTTGAAAAGGGGATGGCAGCAAAAGATGTAAATCCTGGTCTCCATAAAGAGAAGAATGCACAATTTCACACAAATACCTCTCCTGTCTCTCGTGCTCCCTATCAGGAGGCAGTTAAGTCCCACTATGAAAATGTAAGTAACCCTTACTGCTGGTGCTCCCTGAAGTGAAAGCATGGTACTGCTTCTCACACGTGTCAGTGCTGCTGGTCACTCAGAAAAAGATGCAGCACCTGTCCTAAGGATGGCAAAGCTGCAGCTTTAGTGCACATACCCAAAGAGATCTGAAACTGTCTCATTTGCTGTATTCCCAGAACAACTGGGAACACCTTGGGGTAGAGCAGTGGACAAATCCCCATACACTAGACCTTCCTTCCTCATTTCTGTTTCTTTTTTCTCATACACATATGCAGAAAAACATCCAGGTTCAAATTTCAGGAAGCTCCGAGTTGAAATCACTTTGGCACCTTGATCTACATTCACAGTCTTAAAGCCACTGTGGTTCATTTCCTAAGAAAAGCACGAGAAGCACTGAATGCATAATGGAAGGTGCAGGCTCCTAGCTACACCATGACATCTGAAATTCCATGATGAGTGAAGACAATGAGGTTACTCCAAAAGTAAACTTTTTTCAGGGCTCTTGCTTTTTTCGTTTTATTTTCACTGGGGCTTTTTTCCCCCCTCTATCTCATCTTTCCAGCTGCAGCTCTGCCAGTCATACAGTGAAATGTGTTGAACTTTCTTTTATACTCATGCAACTTTGCCAGCCCTGTGCAAGATACCAAGCCGCAGTCTTCATTATTGTTGCACTTCAAAAATTTACTCCAACTTTAAGTGACGGTATCAGGATTGCCAAGTAGTAGAGAGTATACAGTCAGGGAATCTGCTGTATGGTGGTTCTGTGCCAGTGGTAATACTAGTCCTCCCCTGACTTGAATCTATTTTTTTCTAACTTAAATGACAGGAGAGCCAGGTGAATCTGACTTACCAACAGACTCTTCATGTCAGCTCCCTTTTGTTGCTCAGCAACATCACTAACTCCCATGCTCATGCTCCATTTAGCAATATGTCCTCCCACCACCCTAACAGCAGGCTGCCCACGCCTTACCACCACCGTGTCTCCTGCAGAACAGAAAGCCACAGCCCTGCTCTGGATGCTGGGGTTGCGCAGCACATGCTGTTGATCAGCGGAGGTGCAATACCTGAAGCATCCAGAATTTTCCAGGTAAGGAGGCTGTATGTAGCCCTCAGTATCGACCAGCTAACGTAAGCTTATTGCACTGTAAAGATTTCCATTCCCTCTTTAGCACCATAGGGCAGGAGTTTCCAGCCACTCCTGATCAGGTGCTATGCAGTAGTTCACAAATGCAGTAAATTGCTATTTGCCAAAGACAATGAGTGTTTTTCCTTACCCTTGAGGCACGAGTCCAAATAACAGCACCTACCATACAACAGGTGACCATGATGTGCCTATGTGCAAACCCAAGGGCAAGGAAGCATGCTGGTCAGGTGGTCAGCAGTAATTTGGTGTGACAGTGAAGAGGGCTAGAGTGGCGACCCTTGCCTCTCCATGCAGTAACTGTCTTCTGCTCAAGCCCTCTTCTGCCTGCCTCCCAACATACCTCACATACTTCACTCAGGCCTCCTTTTACTACCTCAACTCCCTGGGCTGGTGTCCTCACATGAAGGGGAACGTTCTCTGTATTGAAAACTCTTTGAAAGCTGCCCAACAGGCAGAAGAACAAGCCTGGCTTTCCATGACACTCCAGATCATGGCCTATGGAAGTAATTTCCCAATGGTAACAGCACCAGTGCTTAGCTGGGTGACTGGAGGGCAGCAGAGTCCTGCAGTTGCTGTACCTGGGCTTCCACATACTCAGTAGCATGCCAGTCATGGTAAGTTCAGAGCAATAAGGCAAGAACAAAGTTATTTGGCCGCAACACTGTGGCAGCAAAAAAACTGATCCGGGGGACACACACCATACAGGCCTCATTTTGATATTACCTTGCTAATCCTATTTTCAGTATCCGGGCTCACATCTATTATTTAAAGGAGACCAAAGACACCCCAGTGCAAACATATCTCACACGCCCAGCTGCACAGCCATTTGAACATCTACATTAAGAAGAATATGATGAAGACTGTTTTTCACACCAATTGATTTCAACGTATTGAAATAGCAGTTGATACAAAACGCTCCTTGACTCTGTCAAGTGTAGGCACAAACTTGCACTGCTCATGCCAGCAAATTCAGATGTAACCCTTCCCACTCATGTAAAACATGCCTAAAGTAGCCATAATGTCTAATAAAGTGCCACGAATACATACCATAATATCTGCTTCCCTTGTGGCATATCGAAGATTAGGATCCAGCCAGTACATCACTGCTTTTACCTGCTCAAAGTTAAGGAAGAGCACGAACACCAGGAACAGAAAATAGAGCACACTGAGACCTGCAAAAAGACTCAGCTTTACAATCATGTTCACTCACAAAACTCCTTGGGACACAGACTCAAAAAATCTGCTTTCAAACTGTTGCTCTATACACGCCCAGTTTGCACAAATGAGTTTTCTACACACAATGACTACATGCAAAGAAGCTTAAGAGACACAAGTCAGATGGTAATCTCTTAGCACTCAGCACTTCATATCACCTCCTCTTTAAAGTGATATAATATATGCTCAACTGCATGAACCCAATCAAAACAAAATCAGTCTAATCAGTTTAGACGTGAGTAGTACAAGGCTGTGATCACGAAGCTCTTTAGTAAGAGATACATTAGGACCCCAGGATTAGATTAGCTCTGTCCCTTTGCTTTAAGTATTCTCGGTCTCACTAATGCAGGTCCCTAAGCCTATATGCAGATTTCAACACAAAGATAAATTTAATAATCCCGCCTGGTAATTCTGAGCTATACTGGCGATAAAGAGTAGTTATAAATATAAACTAATGCATGCATGAGTTACTTTTGTAAACTGTAAAATTATCTTTAAAAGCTTCAAAAAGCAAAATATTATAATAATTTGTTTTCACACCATTACAAATCATGAAACACTATTGCATTTGGGACTATCACCTCCTCCCAATGTCTGAATATGGATTTTTCTCAAAAAAGAAAAACTTGTAAGAAGTGTCCTAGGTGTAGACCTGTGGATGGATGAAGCACTGTTGGGAGCATATCTTTATTCACAAGTTCACAGATATCTAAAACTACATTTGGAAGAGGCATATAAACACTAACACCATTTCCATAGTCTAGCGCTCAAACTTACTTGTGTCCTGCACCAATGTCACGGAAGGCAGAAAGATTAATGTGAATAAACTTAGTATGTGCCATCCAAAATAAACTATAGCAATTCTAAAAAGATATTTTAAATTATAACCAGCACTCGCATGTTATTAATCCCCAGTGTATGCTAGAGAGCAACTTCCACTCAAGTACACACACATGAACAGAAAGCATATATATTGTCCTCTGCAGTAGATCCTAAAAACACATCAGGTAAACAGATGCCAAACTACCACAAGAAGCACAGCGTGCAGGTGAGGGTGCAGCCTAAAGTGTTGGGAACACACTACTCCTGCCTTTCATCTACTGAACAGGTCTGAGACCTCAGGCATGGCTAAATAAGCCACACCAGAAGAAGCAGAGCAACACAGGGAAAATGTTGCTCTTGATTTTCCATGCAGCCTTTTCCCAAAAGTACAGGGGGCCAAGCTCTGACAGTATCAACACTGAGAATGACCTTTTAATTTACATTTGCTGAAATCTGAAATGAGCAGTTTGACCTGTGTTTCCCAAACTTCACAAGGAGCAGTACTATCTAATCAGCAGTATCCTCTCAATGTCAACAGATGAGTAATCAGCTACTTTGGGAGGCTACTTATTTTTAGCTATATAAGGTGGCAGGAGAGAGAAACATTCAGTCCCCTTAAAAAGAAAGACATCAGCTTTTAAATCAAATGTGCTTACTTCTCTGTAACTGTGCTTAAAGTCTAGGATGTGCTCTGTGAACCCTGAATTATTTCAAAATAAAATTCCTTATATTTTTGCCATAAAATTCAGATGTTTAAGGAACCGGATTTCACTCAGTAAGTTTTGTAGTTAATAGAATTATTTTCCAAACTATGAATGCAACTAATATTTACAAGTATTTTTACTGAAATTAAAAGTTAAGAATATGAACATATACACATTAAGAATATTAATAAATGTATGTTAAGCTATACAATGATACAATTTAACAAACATATAAAGCAACATCATATTTTGACAATAATGAAAAGAAGTACTCTACTAAACTGGATTTAGTTAGAAGTCAGATAGCATATGCAAAAGCTATAAAACCTAAACCTTTTTTGGGGTGGGAAGAGATAGCAATAGGAAAGATGTGGGGAAAGGAGATTAGGGAGCACAAACACAAAACAGGATTATGAATGACCCCTTTCTGGTGATTTAATTACACCATCTTGACACAGAGTAATTACAACAGCACTCCCAAACATAACTAAAAACAGATTATAAGGAACTGCTCAGAAATGGGTGGGAAGTGACAATCACACAAGTTTGATGTACAACTATGTTTCATGACAATTCCATTCATCTGAAAGTTAAAACAGCCAGTCCTGCAGAAGCACCAAAAAAGTCAGAAACACAACTTAAACTTACCAAAAACCATTCTCCATATTGCAGGGTGGGGACGGGTGAAGGGTCCTGTGGACAGTAAACAAAAAGCTTATTAGAAGACAGTCAATAAGAACCACATAATCTATATTTTAGTATATTTCATATGAGGATTTGGCAGGAGCACAGATCAGTTCTCCATCAAACTATGTCATATACCTGAACATTGGGGCTCTACGCTAGAAAAGAAAAATGGTAACAGCAGATTTCAGAGAGGAAAAGGAGACTGCCAACTAGTACAGTGTAGACAAAATTTTCCTTTTTTTTTTTTTTATAGAGTTGTTTCCAGAATAGTAGTATGCTGTTGGCTCAGTAGACACCTTATCTCAGGTATCACCTGAGGATCTCTTGATTTGGCTTCTAGACCACAGCTCATACATGGCTTGCTCCCAAATAAAGTCATCAAATACAAATTTCTGTGTGTTAGCAAAGAAACGCGGTGCAGATGATGATGAAATGTTAGCAAACAGGCCTCCTAAAATTTTCAAACTGAGTATCATACATCTGACAAGATGTAAGATACCTACGCTCTTTACCAGTGTCAATATTATTTACTTTAGAGACAGTGATTAAACTGACTTTATTAGATTAAAAACCTGTCAGATGATGTGAAGAGCAGAGAAAGTAAGTCTGGTGAAACTGGAAAACCTCCAAATATGAATCATACAGTTAGGTAGCAAAAAGTGGCTAAACAAATATTTTCAGCACACGCTGCAGAGTGGTCTTTCACGATTGTATGCATAAAGCTCATTTCTCTCTGGCATTCAGTTTTTCAGTAAGCGCTTTGTGAAAAGTATGGATTAATAATTTTTAAAATACGAGAAAAAAACTTCCCAACTCTGAAGTACAAAGCTGCCCTGAGCTCAATCATTGTTTTTGTCCTCGAACACTGCCAGGCCTGAGACAGTTTAGACTTGACCCAAGAATTGCTGACAGCAATAAGTAAAAATTAAAAATAGATAAATAATATATTAAAAAAAAACCCCAAAAACCAAAAAAACAACAAACCAGGAAGACAGCATTTCATCCACAGAACTAAATGTCACACGAGTTTTTATGTTTTTGCACTTTCTGCTCCTCATGCAACTACCAAAACTTTTGTCCAACTTAACCTTCTACTGAGCAACGGTGGTTTTAAATTGTAATGTGACTAAGACCATTTCTAACTATCACTAGCTTCTGGTAAGATGCTTTATGTAAGGTCTTATTTCTCTGAGAATCTGTGGAATGACAGTTCTGCTAACATACAGAGGCAGACTACTTTCAAACATCATTTAAGGACGAGGCAGCATCAGTACTTAGCAATCTGAGCTGCAACTGCACACCTGCAAATAGAGACGCTGATTTTGAGAACGTGACTTCCTTCTTAGACACAGACAAGCTATAAATAACTTGCACTTTACCGTTATCTCTGCTCAGTATGATTGCAACCCATTTTTAGACTGTTCCTTAACATAAAGGAATTCAAAAGAGTAAAGAAAAAATACATTAAAAATTTGGTACTTTAATAAAAATAAATATAGTGGCAATAAAGAGAAATTCACATGTTACAAAAAGTGAAGTATAAACAGTATAAACCTTACTCACCATTAGGAAAAGCTAGAACACTGATGATTAGAAAGAAGAAAATCACAGAGAGGATACCCCTCCAAATATTATCCTCTGGGACAGAATCATCCCTGAAGAGACAGACAACATCAAAGTGTTAAAGTACATTATAAGGATGCACTCAAAAGGCTCTGAAGATATCATATTATTTAAATAAAGACTACGTGGAAATAAGTATAAGAAATAAGCATGCTGGTTATATAACAAGTCGAGAAAGTAACGGCGCTGAATGATTTTCACTCTGCACTTCTGAGTATCCCTTTCTCACAAGAGAGTTAAACATATAACCAACACATGCAAGCCATAAGCACTGTTAGAAGTCAATGCAGAAGCAATGACTAAACACAAGATGAAAAAAAAATCTTCCTGCTTTAACATTCACAGAAACTTCATCAAAAGTACTTTTACACAGCAGAGACCTAGACCAAAAACTCTGGAAGCCTGGATGCAATTCCTAGGTTTCCCTCTGCTGTTTTGGAGCTGCTCGCACTCCCTTCCCTTCCCTTGGCCTGTTCCCAATGCCAAATGCCCGGGGTGAGCGCAGAGAGGGGGAAAAAAATAATTCTTGAAATCAGCCTTTGGAAAGAATGATTACACAGCTTAAAAATCCATGTATAACAGAGAGACAGCAAAACTTAAAAGAACCAAGGAAGACATTGACTTGCTTTTAGATCTATTAAGCCTCTGAATAAAACAGCAGGTGTTACTTGTGCTACTGCCATACTATGGCCAGAAGAGAGATACAGGAATTGAATTTGGAATGCCAAGGCAAACTTGACTGAGTTCTTCTTTCTTTTCAGGCAGGTAGAATATAGTGTACAGCAGTGAGACTAACAAAAAAAAAGCCCACCCAAGTCTTGTAACCAGCAGTCAGCTTCTAGGATACTTCAGTAATACAAACAGAAACAAATGCCAGACTATCATAATATGCACAGCTAATATTACATAATGTTATCACCCACTACAACTCAAATTAAAGTTTTACTATCTGGGTTATTTTCATGTACTTTGGATCAGTTTATCTATTTAAATATATTCCTGTATTTATTCCCCAAACCATGATATAAAAACATTCCCAGCAAACTTCAGAGGGATAAATAAAGCTCTTCCTGGCAGAGGATCTATCACATTTCTGGATGGTTCAGTAAAGAATCACGACAGCATAAATGCACTCCATATTAGATGTCTGCTTCAGTTATAATCTCGTAAAGTGAGAAGTATTTTATTTCCCTTTCCCTCAAAACTGAGCCTTAACAGCTCCACAGCACTTTCATCATTGTGAGGCACTGTGTCAGTTTAACTGTGTGGCACGAAAAAGCACGTTAAACATGAATGGTTTCTCTGCAGGCCTCAGGGAGTCCCCACAGCTTTTTTTTTTTTTTTTAAACCAGTTTAGTCCAGATTTACTGGGCATTTTCTAGCAGGCATGCTGCACAAGCTGACACTTTACACCAGCTATGAACCCCAAGTTCCAGCTACTTTGGCTCCTTGGCAATCTCAAGAGCCTCACGCCATCCAGCACACTTCCCAGCCAGACCCTCCGGCTCCAGTGGTTCAGACAGCAAAACCATAGTTCTGGTCTAACACACACAAATAACACACACACGCATGCTGTCATGGATGCCACCAAGCTGGGGAATTTCTTTTTTTTTTTTGGAGGAGGAGGAGGAGAGAAGAAGAGAGTACTAGCATCACATCACTGTACAATTCAACATGGCCATGAAAGAAGTGAAAGACACTGTGATCACATCACTTGTTGTGCCAGCCGGGCTGAAGGCTCCTCACCTTTGCATATCAGGATTCAGAGTATTACTCAGCTTCAGGAAAGCTGTCCTAGTCATGTTGGCACCACTTCCCCCCAAAATCAACAAAGATGTTGTTTGTGGTGTTAAACTGCATTTCATTCCATGTGAGTGGTAGAGGCATTTCGTTTTGGCTTGCAGATACCTTTCAAAAGTGATAGACACCCATTCTTCTTGCCAGAAGCAAGTAAAAACAGGTGAGAGCAAGACTTGCTCCTATACACTAGAGTTTGGATAAGAATTAAATAGTGTTTGCCTGGAAGAACTATTTTGGGAACACCAAAAGAAACAGGGAAGCAAAATAACTGTGTGAGGAAAGACACAATCACAACAAGCCGCAATCAGGAAAATGTGCTAAATCATCTCTTCACTTAGCCCTAGGAACTTTGATGCTGACTTCAAAATATAAGCATTCGTGCAGCAAAAACAAGGTTTCTCTAATGCTTGTGTAGGAGGACAGATGAAAATTCTCTCCATTTTGACCCACTTTATCAGAGCATCTTTCAATTCTGTGGTTTCTTTTTGGAGAAGAAATAATAAAAAGCAAAGTGCACAATAACTGCATAACCTTTTCTCTCTACTGCTCTTCTCCAGAGCACTACATTACACTGGCACATTACAGAAATGTAAACTAGTAAGTTATTACATCATAAAGAAAAAAATTAGGATATGCAACTGAGGAAAAAATAGCCAGGACACTAAAGCTAGAGTGTGTGTGGGGAAAAAAATAACTTCCACAAACGCTCCAAATCAAACCTAAATGTACAAGAATCCAGTTTAATCAACTCAATTAATCAAGGAATGTAAAAGACAACAGCCCTACATCACCACAGGTCTTAGTTTTGCTTCCATAAACCCCTCTAACTTCACACCCGAAGCTACCAATCTGTCACCTTCCTCAGTCCTGCTGTTGTGCCCCACAAAATATCCCTTCCAGCACCCACCTGCCCTCCTGATGGTTGCCTCTGGGCTCAAAGAAAGCCACATCCCTCTCTCCAGGCAGGAAGGGGACAGGCAAAGCTGGAGCCAGTCTATGTCTCCGCTCTAAGTCTCAGCCTGGAAGCAGAGAAGCCTGTGTCTGGCTCATTCAGCAGAAAAAAACAAAGGCAGCTGCAGCCATTGTCAGAGGCACTAGAAGGATGTGCTTTAAAAAACAGAATACCCTCTACTCCCCACTTTAACACGTAAAAGTTAAACACATGCACATTTCTTTTTCTGGATTATTATTATTGTTGCTACCTGAAGATTACTTCTATCTTAAGTTCAGCTTCACCCTTATTTTTCAGCTCAAAAAGAGTACCAGCTGCTCTCAGTGGGGAGACCCCACATTATGGTTCGGTACATCCAAGGGAAAAGAATTTTCTAAGTTCATCTAAACCCCTCACATATTTCTGACATAAAACAATTATAGAAGAGACAAGAAAGACTTCAAGGG